TCCTGTCGGTGATGCAAACTAAAGTCCATTCGGCTTACAGAATATGCTTTCAACTTTTCAGTCATCCACCCCTTGTTAATTTTCTCAATGAATTCTTCAGCTCTTCTTCTCAGCTCATCATCATCATCATCATCTTCTTCTTCATCTTTTTCATCTTCTTCTTCATCTCGGCTTCCTTCATCATTGTCGACCACTGATATGCCCACAGACGAAGATTCATCAATCAATGAGCGTGCCATCTTTAAGGAACATGAAGCGTTTGTTCTTGCCATGGAACCTCCCTTATTGCTAACAACGTTTTCGTGAGAAAACTTCTTATCTTCTTTAAATTCTGACCGGGATTTCGAGCTACCGACCAGAAGAATGACAATGATCAGATTGCATAGACAAAAAACTGCATGAGAATTCGAAGCAGCAAGGCTGATCAAATCAAATGTGGAATTCAACATGTTTTTTGGGAGTATTTGAAAACGAAGGGTGAATGAATAAACTGGAACTCAAGCAGTTCAAAGGCTATTGCTGTCAGGTAGCAGAATGGAAATGTATTGAGCTTTTTATCTGGTAGGGACGATTGAGGAAGAAAAGAAGTTACAATTTTGTTCGCAGTAATCTCGACTTTTGTTAAAGACTGAGTAAGGGTTGAAAAGGTTTATGGAGGAAGTATTTTTTAGCACATCTTGAGGATTAAATGACTAGGTGTGGTATGAAAGCTAATGTGTGTTGACATGTTAATATTCATTAGTTTAATCCTCTGTATTAAATATTAATGATTCTTGAAGCCTTCCACTCTTGATTAATAAAAGTCTTCTAACAACTGATAATCTCCATGCGAGACGTGTTTGGTATACAATATTAGATCAGAATGAACAAAATTAAAAAAGGAAAAATTAGTTAAAATCTCGCAATTATCATCATAGAAAATTGTTTTCTTGATTTTTAAACTTCGAGAAATTACATAAAGAAGAAAAGACAGTTTTGTGTCCCGATTATACCTTATGAATGAAGTAAAAAGGATAAAATTGAAGAATTGGAATCCAACCATTTATAAGTTATTTCGTCAAAATGTGGCAATTAGCAAAGTAGTAAATAAGTTTATCATCTCTTACTCCAAATCCAAACTTGGAACTGTGGAAAACAAAAGGTTAGTTTTGCACATTCTTTTTATTTATCTATTCGTGCATAAAAATTCAAGGTTAGCACAGTCAATTCCGAGCTTAGGCTTGTGGGTTGAACTCCAACACAACCTCTATCGATCAAATTTACACCTCTATCGACAGCAAACAAAAGTAACATCAATTTGCTTAGTCGTTTAAACAACTGAATTATAGATTTACTTGTTGCTTGGCATTTAATCTAATCGAGTGGTAGTTAAGTGACTCAAAAAGTCAATATTCAATGTATTACAAACGTATCAAGTCAACGGTAGGTAGAAATTGATTCTCACCTGTTCAATTGTTGTTTTTTAGCCAGAATATATCACACGAAAAAGAAATTTTTTTACATCAACAGCTCAAGGATTCCTATTTCTATCCACTTTTAATCATCTTATTGAAAGCAAGCTTACAAGAACACAAAATTGACAACTAGAATGGGGTTTTATTGAATAAAAATATTAAATCTTCTCATTTAGCTGTCCAAATTTTCATCTTCGTGCCGATCGACGACTTTTGTTACCTATTTCATGATATTCATGCATAACTTGACAAGAACTAAAAGATTGTTCTTGAATTCCATTTTCATACATTCCCTGCATAGTCGAATTTCTGGAGAACTATAAGCAGCAGCATCAAACAGCCAACTTACAAGAAAACAGAAATTATCTTTAAAAAATTTAAGTCTTCACTACTACAACTAAGAACGATACATCCAGTTCAAATATCCGAAATTCTACATCAAGTTACAGGACACCAGAGCGAAAAAAGACGCAAACCATATGACAATCACATTAGCAAAGCCAAAACCTAGTATCTAACGAAAGAAAATCCTTCAGTCGAACTGAAAATCATACTCTAGTTTTCAACGATAATGTGCAGATGTCAACTTGTAACCGGGGTCAGAAAGAAGTAAGCCTAAAAGTTTCACCCCTCCTAATAACAGCTAAGATACAAACACGATAAAAATAAGCAACTAAATCAGCAAATAATTTCATGGCGTTGTTCTCTAGAATCTTCTCCTGACAATGAGACATTACTTTCGAGGGCAGCGATTTTCGAACCTTGGATGGAGTTAGCAGAAGTTAAGTTGTCTCCACGGAAGGAAGCAGATGGGTTCAAATTTGGCTTCTGTCCACCAGAGGCTCCTTCGTATCTTTCTTCAGAAAAAGCATTAGCAGGACTCGAGGCAAAAGATATTGTCCGCTCATACTTCAGCTTTTTGGGCTTCGAATCCTTATGGTGCCCGGGAAGAAAGCTAGCAATGACAACCTGTTGCACTCGAAAAGTTCAGAAAAGTATTGCCAAATTTCATACTGGGCTTATAACCTTCTGCACGGGGTATATATTCGTGAAGAACAAAGGAATAATAACTTTTACATCATTATGATATACTACACAAGAACGTTAATAAAGGTTGAATTAAATATCTATACAAAATGAAAAGTACAATACAGAGTTGCACAGTACAGATTACAAAAAATCATATAAGCACAAAGAGTTGACCAGAAAATTTGTTGAGGAAGTGTCAGAATATAAAACATTGTAAGAAATATTTAATATATATATATACACTATGACTGGAACCGCATCCAAAGGTTTGGCCACTCAGGTGTGTGTAAATTGAAAGGTCGCAAGACATTCCACTTACTAGTCAGAATGTGCATAGAAAATAAGGTTTGATGGACGCATTCAACATTGATTCACAAAAGTGTTTTTCTCTGAAATTAGATGTTGTTTGATGTATAACTTTTGACATTTGACACACCATCTTTTCCTTTCTGATTACCTAGGTTATGAAGACAAATAGATCGTCAATTATTTGGATAACACATTAATTCTTTTGTCTCATTTTCATTCATTCTGATGACACTTTCGAACCTGAACAGGGCCAGCTGCTAGTAGCATTCCGGCAAGGCCTCCCCCCAAAACACGACCATCTGGTCCTGCTAGAGAGACACTCATCCCACCAGATCTGCTTTTTGTCAATCCGTTATCACTTGGCATAAATGACCCCATCAGAGAAAGTATTTCAAAGCGGCCCTGCAGAAAAGTGCATAATTATAATTCAGAAACAGAATTATTCTCCACAAAAGATAATTTTTGTTAAAAATTTAAGAAACAAAAAATTTGTCGGCTTTTGGTGAATTTGATAAATTTTCCGTGGAGAGAGAAAAAGAGAATTCAGGAAAGTATCTCTAAACATCACAATTCCAAGCCTCTGAAAATTCTATCAGACGCTAAATATGCGGAACTTCTTATGAGAGGAACAACTATTCCACCTCCATGAAGCTAAAACCCCCATGTGAAGAAGGCATGTTTAGCTAAGCTTAAAAATAAGTAACAGTTACTTAAGAAATAAGTTATTTTTTTCTTACTAAGAAAAAAAAAGTTGGCCCTTTTTGAAAGTAACTCTTACTCCAATTTTTGATCAATACAAAAAACTAACTTATTGAAACCTATTTACTTACAAATAAACCTTTTAAGTTTAGCCAAAATAGAGATGTATTAACAGCAATGTCAACATAAAGGGCTCGCACCTCATAGGTCAAAGTACCGCCAGAAGAATTAGGTTGATGAAGTGTAACATTTGAGATGGGACCATTTGCTGCTAGAACACAAATAGCTCTTGAGCCTTGTTGAGAGAAAGATATTATTTTCATTGTAACATCCTGAAACAAATAGAACAGAGAACTAAAATTTAATCAAATAAAAATCGGCTAACAGCAATATTAAAAATTGAAGTTTAAGTCATATTAACAGTAAGAATTAAGATGCCTTTACAGTAAAATTCAAGATGTACCAATTCTTTTGCATAACTAGAAAGTAGCAGCATCGTGCTCTGAAGTCTTAACCCATCCATCCCCACTTTCAAGAGAAACTTTTGGTCTTATCCACTACTGCCTACCAAATATGTACTAGAAGGACACAATTACCAGGATGTAATGTAGCACTTTAGCGCCCAAAATTTTCAAGCAAATAATAGATAGTTGGCAGGTTATGAGATGATTTCTACACAAACCTTTTGCAGCAACCCTCATACATATGGTAAATTTGTGGATGTCATTTTACATGCATATTACATGAAACTAATTTTAAAGGAATGAGGTCACGCATGATTGTTTGGTGGTGGTTAAGATAATCTACAAAGAAAGAGAGTCCAGTGCCAAAACTAAGAGCTATTTATCAGTTAGCTAATATGAATTCGTGTCATGTCTTTTTAATGTATTGCAAAGGAAATCCAAACGACAAATCATAACATGTTAAATAGTTCATCGATGAATGCATCTATGTATATCTATTATGTTATTTAAGCATTCTGAGGTAAATGCATTAGGGTACAGACTTCCATGATCCATCAATGATTCAGATAGCAGATACAATTTGCACACCAAAAATTAGCCCCAAGTATGATGATATTTCTGGAAAATATTAATCTTATATAATTAAGTCTTAAAATTTTTTTCCTCCACTTAGTGATATGACGAATGTCATCCATAAGTGTAGATACTATGAGTTAGTCCATGAATTGAAGGTAATTTTTGTATGGGAATTCATGGGAACTTCTAAAGATTTTTCATCTTCTAACCGGTATAAAATTTTGATCTCCTTCTGTCTTCAACAGCAAAATGTCAAAAACCACAAAAAGAGCTCGTTGGATTCTTTTTCGGAAAAACGCACCAGTGGTCCACAATGTATTTTGCCTTAGTAGCAAGTCGTTCCCCAACCTTCCATTTTTGTTGTACAATCATTCCCCAAAAATAGAAGCAACCCAAATCTCTATTTAATCATTTCGTGACCCTTGCATGTCCAACTTTGTGAAACGGTGTTATGCTTCCAAACATGACTTGGTGTCTAGAAATTTGAAGTAAAGCTTTTTTCCATGAGGATCATGTGATAATTTATCAAAGATTTGGACAGTTTTCATCATTGGGGAATAATTGTACAATTATAATAAAAAGTTATAGACTAACATGCTATTAGGGTAACAAATTATAGAATAGTACTGCATTTCTCCCATCAATTATTAATATTTGAACCATCAGCATATGAACTAATAGAAGGTTTTTGACATCAAGTCATTTATGTATAAAAACTAAATGTACAATTTTCACTAGTAACTAGATTCTAGAAGTACCTCGCCAGCATTAACAG